TTTGTATTATTATTTACTAATTGGTATTTATAAAACATTTTCTAGGTTATATTATTTTTTATTTATGTTATTTCAATTCCTAAATTTGGTATCGATCAAAGGGATATTCTGTCGAATAACATTTTCCTAGTTATAATTTCCCAGAATTTATCGAAGAATAGATAGTAATATACGAAGGTCCGGGGTTAGAAAGGTCCACCACCGATGTGTCAAAAATCAGTAAAGTTAAGCATTGTTTAACAACAATATTTGGAAGTAGAGGAAAAAAGATGTATAGCCAGCTACAACCTTGATTTGAAAACGATAATCTTTAAAATGGGGGAGATTAACGGTAATTTTTGAAAATCCATAATAAAAGTATTTTCTTCCGTTGGTAGTTTTAGCATTAGTTAAAAATGTAATTATTTTATAAAATACCTTTAAAATTATAATAAGGCTTTAAACCTTTTGCCACCTGCCCGTTACAAGTTACTCCGCCTATAAGGTAAAAAGGTCTAGATAACACATTTTTGAAAGACATCAAAAAAGCACATTTCTACAATGATGAAGTAGAAGATAGTTTACTGAACGTAGTCAGATAATTGTTCGTTTGAAATGTGTTATTTGTTGTGATATAATTGTTATGATTTTCACAATATAGTATATATTTGCTCAAAGTCAAATTGGACCTTTGTGTCGCCCTGTTCTACATATATACTTTTTATTAAATTTACTTTAATTCATCGAATGTAACTTGAAACTTTTCAAAAAGCAGGTCAAAGAAGAAATACTTAATTCATTTTCTAACTCTCCTCGCAAAAATTTGGAAATTTGATTATAAGCTGAGTAGTATTGTTTACAATTATACACAAAATCCCGAATCCAAAAAGAATCTGAAAAACTTGATACGTAATTAATAAGTCGAAAGACCAAAAAAGACTCGGATTGGATTATACGATGTTTTCTATAGAGAGTGTATAAATCTTACAGTTTGATTGTATTGACAAAATAAAAACAAACTAATGGGGTTTATTGTTTTTATAATACCTAATAGTATACAGCATTCAAACAACACATCCTTATGCGCTTAAAGTATTAATATTTTTGATTCTCTAGAAATAGTTTAGAATATACCTTACTTAGCAAAACAACGTTTGCCGGGTCAGCTAGTAATATATAAAAATGGAGCTCTCGTTCAAATGATTCGAAAACGGCTAAACTGATTTGGCCAGTCTTAGTCTTGAAAATTTCTTGCCAATCCAGAGAAGGTCGGAAAGGTGAGATAATATTTCAAAATTGCTTAGAAACTTTACATTTTTAATTTAAAATTTTTTGGTAAACAGCACTTGATTTAAACTGGCTTTCCAAACAATATTATTCATGATGACAAATGAATCGCCTACTCATATGTCAAATGGTTTTCACAAGTTAAAACAGATTATGTGTTGTTATTCTTTTAATTTAAAAATTTAATTATTTATATATTTTTAAATATTAATAAGAATGTTTATTTGGTTTTATATGAGGTTTTTATTTAATTCTCAAGTGTTTGCTCACTGCCTTTTGTATTATTCTATCAGGAGCTTGAAATAATACTATTATTATTGATCACGGCTTACTTATGAATAAATAAATAAATAATTTCGTTTCAAACGCTGTGCTGTGCAAGTACTTATTGGTTTAATGTGAATAATGTTTTACCAAAACATTTTATGAATTATATTATTATTGCATTCAGGTTCTTAAAATTGAGATCCTAAATTTGGAATTCATCGAAGGGGAAACCATAGACATTTTTGTTTAATCACTTCTCGCAAGTTATAATAGACAGCGATATGATTAAGAAAATTGGATTACAACACAAATTGTAATTTTGGAAATCTTATTTATAAAAATCTCAATTATGTGTACATACAAATACAAGATCTTCGAAAACAAAGTGTGCAATTGCACCATTCAGTGTGCAATTTTCAAACAATTGTTTGAAAATTGCTTATAAAGCTCACATTATCTTATGTGACATCCACTATAATGACTTTTGTAGTTATATGGTCTATGACATATTTTTAGGGTTTGACAAATGTCACAGTTCACAGAAGAATGGAAAGTATCAACAGTACAAGCTTGCATTTTATCACATGGTTTCATCATCCAAATAGGCTTTCTAATGCATAGAAAGAAGTGTTTACAGCATTCCAATTTGAAATGAAAAAATTATAATAGTTAAACATATCCCACATGATAATAATAGAATTTTCCTCATGTTGTTTAGATACTAATGCTGTTATTCATCGTGTCGTTTCTCAATTACTTCCCGAGCATACTATATAGTGGTCATGGTGAGAACAAAGACACCACTAATTTGGATAGACAGTTGTAAAAAAAAATCATAATAAACACATTGAAATTTATAGCAATATGCACTCATGTTGAAAATGTACATATGTTCAAGCAAATTCATAAAGAAGAAATGTCCATTTTTTATAGCTATATAACAATGCGGGGTAAAACGTTAAAATGGCTGCACGAATTGGGCCAGTCTTAGTTGCATAATTTTGTATTCATTAGTGTTTATAAAACATTTTCTATATTACATAATTATTTTATTTAGATTATATTTAATTGTTTTATAAAATGTAATGTTAATTTTGAGTAAGATTCAACAGTTTTCCTCATATAACCACTGTAAAAACTTACATCTGTGTGGGGCAAAGATGACCAACTGCACATTGACCACGGCTAAAGACTAAAAAAGACTTGGATTGAATTATACCATATTTTTAGAGAAAGTGTATAAAACTTCCAATTTGATTGTATTAACAAAACATGGACAAACGAATTTTGTTATTATGAATTATATAATTTATTATTATACAAGTAGTCTTTGGAGTTTATTGTATTTATAATACCTCATTATCTGCACCATTCAAACTACACATCCTTACACTCCTAAAATTAAGTATTCTTTTTCTTATTCTTTAGAAATTGTTTACAAATACCTTACTTAGCAAAACAACGTTTGCCGGGTCAGCTAGTCTTATATATATAAATGAAGCTCTCGATAAAATGATCCGCTAAAACTCGAAAACGGCTAAATCGATTTTTAGTCTTAGTCTTGAAAAATTCGTGCTAATCAGTAGGTTGTCAGAAAGGTGAGATAATATTTCAAAATAGCGTAGAAACTTTATATTTTTTATTTGAAAATTTTTGTAGGAGCGTAATTCAAATAAAACAATGGACGGTGGCTAATCCGTCAAATGTCAAACGTTTTTAACAGATGATGTTCAATTACGTTTAATAGGATGTTTTACATAAATATTATTTAATTATGATTAAATTGTAGTAATAGTTCTATTTATACCCAAAAACGTTATTAAACCGATTGCAAGTGTTACTAGAAACTCAAAATATCAACTTTTTTGAAATGTTAAATGTTTTGAAAATGCACTTTTTGGCGTTGTAGCACTCTTTTTTTGCAAATGATATTTTTCTCAAACACGGTGCTCTGATCTCATTCGTATAATTATATACTCATTGGTATTTAAAAAACATTCTGTAAGTTATATTATATTTTATTTATGTTATTTAAATTCAGAACCTCAATTTGGGATCGATCAAAAGGACATTGGTGTGGCCTTGATTCGATCAGTAGACCAAACGGATGGCTGGTAATCGTGGACTGTATATGGAAACTAAAAACGTTCTTCTTCTATGATAATAACAAACTAAAAAATGTCCTCACTTTGGTCAATAAAAGGAAACTCAACAAAACTTCTAAACTCGACTGACTCGGAAGGAAACTCGAAACTGAACCAAAGAAAGAAAGCAAGTTGTAAGCGTACTGATAACGCACTGGAATCGAATTGAATACGGAACTAGATAGCACCCGAACTGAAAATGCACTGGAAGCGAAGTGAACTGGAAATCAACTCGAATAGAATAGACCACGTGTCGGAAGTCATAAGTCAAAGTTTTGGAAAGAAAGAGACAGGTAGTCTGGATTAGAAAGGAACAAATCGGTTGACATATTGTAACCCCGAGATGGCGACTATATTATTATTATCGACGCATGTAATAGTCAGTGGCGTCACCATTTCTTCCCCGGGCGAAAAAGGGTACCCTTTTAATACTAGAAAATATAAATGGAAATATCAAAACCATTAGTCAAACTATGCAAGGAATAAAACACATGAGAGATGGTGAAGAAATAACATGTTGATTCTTAATTGAATCTAGGAAGTAAGTTAAGTTTTGATGGAATATCCAATGCTTCTATGTTCACCCATCATAATCAATATTAAGGATAAGTAATCTTGACAGGAAAGCAGTAACCTTGTTATTTGTTTGAACTATATTATAGTTGCTCAGTATCTTGCTGTAATAATGCTGCCAAATTTCATTCTCTGCTATAGCAAATGATTTTTAATATTCTCTATTAATGGATATCACTTCCATGAGACTTGCATATAGCACCACTGGAAATTATTTTTGGTTTGCATCATACATGCTTGTTTTTCGGAACACATGAAAATTTGTCTTGGTGGAATTATCAATTGTCATATCTAAGATGCCTTTATGTCGAATAGGAATTAAAATTTCATTGACCTTGTTTCGTGGATTTGTTGATGATGGTGGTAGTTAATTTTGAGTAACCAGCATGATTTAAAACAACCAGTTCGTATTTGAAATGTGTCCAATATGGGGCCGTATTCATTTCCAAATTAAAGGCATTTTTACAATAACTGCAATATTATGATGATTCATAGCGTTCGATCTTCTTGAATGTACAGATTTTGAATATTATCAAAAGTTGTGAGAACAACTGAGCAAATAACATTTTGCTCTTGAGTGTGATTGAGTTGTCATGCGATTCCTCTGAATAGAAGCAAGTTACTGATAAAGTTACTACATATAATGGTAAAAGGTAAAAGGAAGGAATTAATTAAAGGTAACAAATAAAGCATTAGACTCTTTTTTTATATCGTTTGCAAATATGAAAAAAAAAATTTCTTCACCATAAATTACTGTGTAGGTAGGGGGCAGAGCTTTACTACAGGGCGTTTTAATAACGTAGTCCTAGTTCTTACTAAAGCTGTGCGCACCTCTCCGTCTTTTCCAGGAAAAACGTCTTCAATAACCCCCATGGACCATTGAAGAAGAGGCAAATTTTCATTTTTGATTAGAACTAACATACCCTTTTTAGCCGGGAGAGAAGGGGTGTTCCACTTTTGACGTGATTGTAAATCACTTAAATATTCAGAATGCCATTTCTTCCAGTAAGATTGTATTATTTTATCAATTAATTGTTTTCGCGTCGGTAAATCTATTTGTAATATGTTTTTTGATGGAAGGATATTTAAGGGAGTTAAAGTGAGGAAATGAGCTGGCGTAAGAGGTTGGGGATCACTTGGATCGGAACTCATCCAACATAATGGTCGAGAATTGAGAAGCGCCTCAATTTGGATTAACACGGTATTTAATTCCTCGTAAGTAAGAATTTGTTCATCTATTACTCGATATAAATGCGCTTTTATAGATTTTATGTTGGACTCCCACAAACCCCCGAAGTGGGGTGCGGCTGGCGGATTAAAAGACCAATTGATATTATGCTTGTGAAGTTCGGAGTTTAATGATGCACTAAATGTTTCTGAGTTAATAAGCTGAAATATATCTTTCAGTTCTGATTTGGCACCAACGAAATTTACAGACAAGAAACTGGACCTCTTCGTGAAATAAAGCGCTTGAAACAATTTAAAAACGTCGAAGTGGTTAAATCGGAGGCAAGCTCAATATGTATTGCCTCTGTGGAAAAACAAATAAATAAACAAATATATGCTTTTGAACTTTTTACGCCTCTAAATTTTCCCATGGTTACGCGAAAGGGACCAGCATAGTCAGTACCGGTGTGCTGAAAAGGTTTTGCCTCCATAACACGAGGAGAAGGTAAATCAGCCATAATAGGAGTAAAGGATTTAGGATTACTCCTAAAGCACTTATTGCATTTATGAATACGTTGGCGTACAATACTGCGAATGGATAAAATCCAGTATCTTTGACGAAGAATGGAAGTGAGTAAATGTGGACCAGCATGTAAATGTTTCTCATGATAATAATCAATTATTAAATTTATCACGTGATCCTTTTTGGGTAAAAGCAAGGGAAATTTATGATCAAAATTCAGGTTAGCATGTGTTAAACGTCCACCAACTCTTAAGAACCCATCATGTAAAAATAGTCGTAAAGTCCGATACCTTTTAGGAAACTTGTACATTTTCAAACAATCAATTTCTTCGAATAAATAGATTTGTTGGATAAGTTTGATTATAGTTAATTCGGCTCTGTTGAAATCTGAAAAATATATTTCACTTCTAGATGGAATAATTTTGCAGAAACGTAAAATAAATACAAATATTCTGCATAGTCTGGCCCATGAAGATATAGTGGAAGTAAATTCGTATAGATCATTTTTACAGGAGTTTGCCACTAAGCAAGATGAAACTTTTTCTTCTGGAACATTTTGCATGGAATCTAACGTAGAACGTATGGGCCAATGACTTCTGTGAGAGTAAAGCCATGAGGGACCTGTGTACCAATTACTATTATTAAGCAATGTATTTGGTAATGAACCACGAGAAACACAATCGGCAATATTTGCCTCGGAAGAAATATGATACCATTTGGCAGAAGGAAGTAAATCATGAACTTTCGTTACTCTATTTGCGACAAAAGTTTTCCATCTATGAGCTGGTCCTGTTAACCAATGAAGCACAATCATCGAGTCCGTAAAACCATATATTTCTTCGATACATAAAGAATGATGATTGGAAGATATGACAAAGGATAATAATTTTGCCAATAAATGCGCCGCACACAACTCTAACCTAGCTAAAGTTTGAACTTCAATTGGAGTAATTTTTGATTTTGAAATAAGAAGGTAATATTTATTATCATGGCAAGGCTTGATATAAATCACAGCCCCATAAGCCTTTTCTGAACTATCCGCAAAACCGTAAAGAGAACAACGAATATAATTTTTGGTACCTACAAATCGAGGAATGGAAAGATTAATTAATTCTGGAAGTTGATTATAAATACTAAGCTATGTTGCAACTTATGAGGAAGGTAATGGCTTATCCCAATCCAATTTTAATAACCATAGTTCTTTCATGATCATTTTGAATTTGATGGTAATAGGCGTAATAAAACCTAAGGGATCCCAAATACGAGCAATGGTGGATAATAAATGACGTTTTGTCCAATTTTGATGGAGAAGGTTGATATTAAATTTAAAACAATCTTGAATTGGATCCCATCTCAATCCCAATACTTTAACGGAAGTATCAAATTCAGAGATTGTTTGTGAAAAATTAATTTGTGTTTTATGGTGTGATTCAAATTGTTTATACATTAGACTATCATTCGAAGCCCACTTCGCTAGTTCAAAACACGCGAAACGGAACAAACTCGACAATTGAACGTAAAGTTGTTTTGCGATTTCGACGGTGTCTGCACTAGTAACCACGTCGTCGATATAAATATCATTTTGAATTATATCAGTGGCTAAGGGGTAATTTTTGCTCTCATCTTTAGCTAGTTGTTTAATAGTGCGTAACGCATGAAAAGGAGATGACGTAATACCAAATGTGACAGTGTTTAATTCATAAATGCCGAGGGGATCTTCCGGAGAAAATCTCCAAAGTATCCTTTGAAATCGTCTATCTTGATCACGAATTAATATATTTCTGTACATCTGTTTAATGTCGGCCGTTAACGCAATTTCGCCAAAACGAAAGTTAAGAAGAATTGTGATAATGTTAGACTGTAGCTTTGGCCCGGAAAATAGGTTGGCATTCAGGGAAGGAAATTCAGCATTCTTTGCTGATGCATCAAATACAATTCGTAACGGTGTGGATGAGCTGTCTTTAATCACGGCAAAATGTGGAATATAATACCCTTCATTGGCTGCGGAATCATTTACATGGCCTAAAAATGACATGTGTTTTTGTTGTAAATAATCTTGAATTACTTCTGAATATTGTTTATGGAATTCGAAAGATTTCCGAAATTTTTGTTCTAAAATACAATAACGCTTATGCGCGAGTTCATATGATTTCTGAAAATTTACATTAACGTTGTCATGAAATGGTAATGCGACCACGTAACGTCCATCGAAATTCCGTACTGTGGTGGACGTATAGAACTGTTCGCAATAATCGTTTTCCGACACAATCATGTCAGGTACATCTTCTAACTCAAAAAATGTTTTCATTTATTTAGATAAGGAATCATGTTCAATCGTGCATAGATTTGTCGAACTTGAATTAGGCGATGCAACGTTTGGAAGAGATCCCATTATTACATAACCTAATTTTGTATCCAATGCGATAGGTGAATCGACGGTTTTTATGTGATTTGACATAATAATAGCATTAAATACATCACAACCCAAGATTCCATTAACAGTTTGAGGAATGAAAAATTTATTATCCGCCAGTTGTAAAGATAAAAATTTATTAATGGAATCGAATGGAATTTTAATGGTCGGTTGTGGTTTGACAATTTCATGTATTACATAGGCACATACAGACATTTGAAAGGAACAATCATTCGACATAATAATAAAATTTGCCATGCCCGTAATTTTTTGCGAAGAGTTACCTATAGAAATGACTTGAGCCTCGATCGGTGTTATCTCTAGTTGAGCGGATTTACAGAATGACTCAGTCACATAGTTGCGATCGCTTGCGGTATCAATAATGACACGTAACGGACTAGTTTTAATACCTGTTGCCAAAACATAAACAGTTGCGGTCGGCATAAGATTTATATAATGTGATAAATCTAATTCATTTACAACGCATAAAGTATTACTTGGATTGGAATCGGAAATTTTTTGCTTCGAATTTTTGGAATGAATATCTGTTGGAACTTGTTTTGTATTGTCAACACAATTATTTGAATGTAACAAAGTATGATGTTTGGTATTACAATACAGACATGTTTTCTTAGAATGACACGGACTGTTACGTTTATGACCCAGGCAATTCGAACAAAGATTCAATCTCCTAATTGCTGACCATCTGTCGTTGATATTTAATTCTAGAAATTGCGAGCATTTAAAAATATTATGACCTTCGTTGCATAAGTAACATTGAAGCGATTTGACATTGCTGGTTATCAACGAATGAGAAATGTGGGTTTTCGAAACCTTCTCGCGCAGATCATAAATATAACTTTGACCTTTTTGCACTTTATTTATGAATTGTAATAATTCTTTATAGGAAGGATATTCGCCCTGAAAATAATTTTCAAATTTTTCCTGTAAATTGGTATCTAATTTGGATAGAGCGATCGATGTTAGTAAAAAATCATACAGGTCTGGAATATTTAATTGATTTAATGCTTGTACTGTAGTGTCAAATTTCTCGATAAAGTTATGCAACTGTGATGAGTTTACAGTTTTAAAAGACATTAACTGTTTGAAATAGTGAATGCCCAGATAACGTTTATTTTTGTATTTGTTTATCAATGCTTCCCATAAAATTAAATAATTATTGGCGGTAGATAAGATAGTATTAAAAATTTTCATTACTGGGCCTTCTAAGGCGCCCATTAAATAATGAAATTTGGATATAATGTCAATCTCGGGATTCTCATGTATAAGGGTTTTGAATGTTTCATAAAATAGCGGCCATTTTTTGAAATCACCCGCAAATTTGGGTATTTCAATTGTTGGGAGACGGGATTTGGAAATAAATTTATATGGGGAATCTTCACTTTTTGTCAAAGAGGAAGTATTGTTTACATCAGAAATAGTTTTTTCAATGTATTTTATCTCCGCGTATAATTGTTCCACGGATAGAAGGGCAGCATAATCCGGTACGAAACTGGGATTTTCCAACGAGTTTAATTTATTAATATCGTCGGTAAGTTTTATAAATTGTTCTCGAACGTTATCTAACATTATCAGGTTTGTACAGAATTGTTTCTTGCTTACGTCTTCTGTATAATGGAAAAATACATTTCTCGTTTGGAAATTAATCGTGCGACTTCAGCACTGGCAGATGCATTCTTGGGCGGCATTTTTAGGATTATAAGAAACTTGGAAATATAATCTTACCTCGATATCCGTTAATGCAAATATATCATGCAAACTCTCAATCTTAATTGAGATCCGGCTCGGAAGGCCAAAATGTGGTGTGGCCTTGATTCGATCAGTAGACCACACGGATGGCTGGTATTCGTGGACTGTATATGGAACTAGATAGAACCCGAACTGAAAATGCACTGGAAGCGAAGTGAACTGGAAATTAACTCGAATAGAATAGACCACGTGTCGGAAGTCATAGGTCAAAGTTTTGGAAGGAAAGAGACAGGTAGTCTGGATTAGAAAGGAACAAATCGGTTGACATATTGTAACCCCGAGATGGCGACTATATTATTATTATCGACGCATGTAATAGTCAGTGGCGTCACCAGACATTTTGTCGAATAACATTCTCCCAGTTATCATTTCCCAGAATTTATCAAGGAATAGATAGCAATAAATGAAGGTCCGGCGTTAAAAAGGTCCAACACCGAGGTGTCAAAAACCATCAGTAAAGTTAAGCATAGTTTAACAATAAATTTAATCCGGAACTTCATTCGAAAGTAGAGAGAAAAATAAACTAGCTATAACCTTGATTCTCATAACTTTGCTATTGGGAGATAAACGGTAATCTTTGAAAATCCATAATAAAAGTATTTTGTTCCGTTGCTAGCTTTTTAGCATTAGTTAAAAATGTAATTATTTTGTAAAATACCTTTAAAATCAAAATAAGAGATTAAACCTGTTAGCCACCTAGCCGTTCCAAGTTACTTTGCCTATAGGGTAAAAAGGACTAGATAAAATTTTTTTGAAAGACTGCAAAAAGCACATTTCTACAATGATGAAGTAGCTGGTAGTTTTACTGTACATAGTCAGATAATTGTTCATTTGAAATGTGTTATTTGTTATGATATATTTGGTTTGATTTTTATAATATAATTAATATTTGCTCAAAGTCAAATTGGACTTTTGTGCCTCGACCTGCTCTACATATATACTTTTTATTAAATTTACTTTAATTCATCGAATGTTACTTGAAAGTTTTCAAAATGCAGGTCTTCTTTGACCTTATACCAAATACTTAATTCATTTTCTACCTCTCCTCGCAGAAATTTTAAAAAATTGTATAAGCTCAGTAGTATTATTTACAATTGTACACAAAATCCAGAATCCAAAAAGAATCTGAAACTAGTTGGTGTTGGTATTTCGCCTTGAGGCAAGTTACATGAACTTCCTGATATGTGTAAATAATGGATTTAATCAATAAAAACTAGTGGGGCGCATGGCATCGTGCCTTAAGGCAAATTGCTGGAACTTTCCGTACTAAAAATTATTATTCTTTTAAAAACGATTAACATTTTCGAAAAAAAATTACTTCGAAAAAATTAGATTTTTGAGATACTATAAATTTGACAAAAAAATACTTTTTTTATTTTGACATATTTTGGAAATTCTGAATTTTTTTTTCAAAGCAATCGTACTGCTTTAACTGCATAGATTATCACTCCACAATACCTATTGTGGAAACATTTAACATCATCTACGAAGTTCAAAATAATTCTACTCAACTAGTGCTAAGCCAGATGACTAGAAAAAAAAATAATGATGATGCCTAATCATCATCGTCGGATTCAACACCTATTCCATCAACAAGTAAAACGTCTTCAACAGCAACAATGGATGCTGGCGGTGCATGCGAAGTGATTGATTATACGAATGAAAATCCGTGGCAAGAGGTAACTTCCGCGAAAAGACCTAGCCTTTGTAACGCATTAAGTAATTTAAGCGTTCCCATAAAATTGGCCAACAAGTTCAGCGTTCTAGCAAACAACGCTTCAAAACCATCAAATGAGACAACAGATAATAAAAAATCAACTCCTCCGCATTTGCTTGTTCACGGGGTTCGAGATTACAATCTTATGATAGCGGACATTAATTCAATTATGAAAAAAAAACTAGTGGGGTGTATGGCATCGTGCCTTAAGGCAAATTGCTGGATCTTCCCGTACCCGTTACGTCCCGTACCGTAACAAAATGTTCGAGGAATATTAAATGTTTTCAAATAGACTATTATAAATGCATACTGTAACATTGTCTAATATTTATAAGAATTATATTAACTGAATTGAAATTTATATAAAGTTGAAATTATTTGTTTGAAGTATATTAGATCTATGGTCAGAATTAAAAATTAATAAAGAAAATCTGAATTATTTTCGATATACAAAAAAAAAATTTTGAAAAAAAAAAGTTGAGACATTTTTTTTTCAGAATCAATTATTTTGTTAATACAAGCAGAAAGTTTTTTGAATCATTTAAATCGGACGCTTAGTTCTCTCAAAAACTGCCATTTTTTACATATTTAGCTCCGTATCTTCGAAATGACTGGGCCTGCCTTTGCCAAAAAGTAATAAACACTTCTCCCAGTAATTACTAATTGAATGTTTTTTGGATCATTCAAATCGGATACTCCGTTCTCTCAAAAAGTCGAATTCTATTTTGTCCACTCTTTGCATCGTATCTCCGAAACGACTGGACCTGCCTTTACCAAAAATTAATCAGCTTTTCTCCATATCAATAGGAATTGAATGTTTTTTGAACCATTCAAATCGGTTGATCCATGCGTCCGAAAACGTCACTGGAAATTTGAATATACATACATACATACACACACACATACACACACACAGTGAAGCTGTTCTTATCACGAGTAGAAAAACAATAGAGACCATCATGCTAAAGATAGGAAATCTAGAGATCACGGCAAAACCTTACATCTGTTACCTTGGCGTATTGCTTGATGCTCGATTGAATTTCAATCAACAGATGGAACACGTTAGTGCTAAGGCGTCAATAGTTAGGACGAGACTTGCTCGACCGATGCGTAATGTTAGAGGCCCTAAACAAACCAGAAGGATATTACTATCGTCAGTGGTTACCTCGGTGCTGACATATGGTATCTCCATATGGGCTGATGCTCTCAAATCTCAAAAATCGAGGAGAATGGCAGGACCTATACATCGTCTGAGTGCTTTAAGAATTGCTTGCGCATTTCGCACAATATCGGAGGAAGTTGATATTAGAAGAACGGCAAAACAGCATTGACCGATGGCAGCAACTGTGGGATGTCGCAGTGAAGGGCAGATGGACGCATCGCCTCATTCCTAACATCAAAGTCTGGCTATGTCGCAAGCATGGCGAAGTAAATTATTATACTATGCAAATGCTCTCCGGGCACGGCTGTTTTCGAGCCTATCTATATCGCTTCCAGCACGATAGCTCGCCGGATTGCCTATATTGTTTGGGCGAAATCGAAGATGCTGAGCATGTGTTCTTCGTATGCCCGCGATTTGGTGCTCTACGGGATGATGTGAAAGACACATTGAGATGCAGAATTACCCCAGGTAATGTTGTTGAAGTGATGCTGACAAGTGAAGCTGCTTGGAATGCCATAGACAGATTTACGAGAGACGTATTAATTGACCTGCGTTCTATAGAAAGTGAAACGGCGAATGGGACTTCGCCCATTTAATGTTTATGAATTATAACATTAATTATAACAAGTTAAGAATGATAACATTTTAGATCCTCTCCCCACGAAGTAATACCTAACGGCGGTTTCCGTGGGGACCAGAGGCAAGGGCAAAGCGGAGGTTTTAGTTGGTATTATACCAGGGCGGTATCGAGTCCCACATACCCAGACAGAAGACCAGTCTGGGATGCATAAAGGC